GCAACTAAACAATTGAGCAATTAACTAGGATACAAGTATTTCTACAGAGGAATGAGTGAAAATGAAAATGCAAAAGATGCAAAGATAATCTGGTTCAAACACATGCTGGCAATATTATCATAATTTAAAAGAACTGCTAACACACATTTCTACACATAAGTAAATGACATAAGAGGACTCTCAAGGTGGCATCGAAAACAAGCTACACTTTTGTTTTCATCTGTTTCTTTCAACGCACTGTCAAAGAATTTTTTACTCTTCATTTCTACAAATAAAAGGTTTCCATTTTTTAAAGGGAATGAAAACAAGAAATTAATTAAAAATAAAAATCTTAGAAATCATCTCAAATCTGATCAGGCAAATGGAACTAGTGAAGATAAAAACTTCGTCCCATGAAATTTATCTAGGAAAAATGTTAAAGCATTACACTAATACAATGCTAAACATCTTTGAAATTATATATAATAATAATATATATTATTATTATATATTGTTATATACTATATATTATATAATATACATTAATATATAACACATTTATTTTATATATCTATATATAATATTATACATGTGTTATATATTAATATATTATATATATTGTTATATATTGCTATATATTATATGTTATACATATTATTGTATATAGTATTATATATAATATATATTATATTAATCCTTAACTATTCACTTTCATTTCTCAGGAAAAATTTTTCAAAACCTAATCCCCTAACAGGTGGTTTACTTATTTCAAAATAATACTTAATAAGACAAAGGTCCCATACAACCATATACTTTATATAATTTCTTACATACCCATTTGTGATGCTTTTTGGAAAATATATTCATACATTTGTACTTGTTGGAGAAGACTTCACAGGTCTTAATGTAATTCCATAATGATTCATAACAAATTAATGATTCATCATTATTAATATCAACCTGTTTAGTAATATATATTCTTACTCTCAGTTTCTGCAACTGCTAACTTTGCTGCTGCTTAAAGTACTGCAAATCAGAAAATCAGACAGACAACCTTTTCTAGAATAAATAGGCTTTGACTAAGCAATGGCAACCCACTCCAGTACTCTTGCCTGGAAAATCCCATGGGCAGAGGAGCCTGGTGGGCTGCAGTCCATGTGGTCGCGAAGAGTCAGACAACACTGAGCGACTTCACTTTCACTTGTTACTTTCATGCACTGGAGAAGGAAATGGCAGCCCACTCCAGTGTTCTTGCCTGGAGAATCCCAGGTACGGTGGAGCCTGGTGGGCTGCTGTCTAAGGGGTCGCACAGAGTCGGAGACGACTGAAGTGACTTAGCAGTAGCAGCATCAAGGGTGAAGCACAAGGGATTTGGTGCCCAGTTTTATTATGACTGCTGTTCATGTTAACTCGGAAGTATTCAGTTTTGCTTGTATTAATCAACTTTCAGTACTTAACTTTCTAAATCAGTCAAGTATTCAAAGGAAACTAGATGCAAGCATTACTACCCTCTTCAACAACAGGAACTCAGATGCATGAAAAGTACAATACTGTGAGAACTGATAAATAAGAGAGGATTTACGAGAGAGATGTATTTTTCATATACAGACTTGAATTTACGTTTCTTGAATGCAAGCTAGGTCCTATCCACTTTTGTATATCTCAGAGCCCCTAATGCTGTAGTTTGTATGTAAATAGTTAGCAATCAATGATTATTTGCTTCTTGAAATAACCATAGGAGTTAGAGAAAAGGAAACTGGCATTTTCATCAAATGCACCAATGGCTTCCAGAGACAATGAGAGCAACCACGTGGGCATATCTCCCTATCAGAGCACAGAATGGGGAAGATGGGTATAATGACAATGTAACCGGATTGAGAAACCACAGGAGGAGCTCAGGGCTGGAGAGATAGTGTTCAGACAGGCTCTATCCCTTTACTGGCCCTGGGCCATCAAGTATTATCACAGTATATGAGGACTAACTTCTCATTATAGGGGACTGGAATGCAAAAGTAGGAAGTCAAGAAACACCTGGAGTAACAGGCAAATTTGGCCTTGGAGTACAGAATGAAGCAGGGCAAAGGCTAATAGAGTTTTGCCAAGAGAATACACTGCTCATAGCAAACAACCTCGTCCAATAATGCAAGAGAAGACTCTACATATGGACATCACCAGATGGTCAATACCGAAATCAGATTGATTATATTCTTTGCAGTCAAAGATGGAGAAGCTCTACAAGTCAGCAAAAACAAGGCTGGGAGCGGACTGTGGCTCAGATCATGAACTCCTTATTGCCAAATGCAGATGTAAATTGAAGGAAGCAGGGAAAACCACTAGACCATTCAGGTATGACCTAAATCAAATCCCTTATGATTATACAGTGGAAGTGAGAAATAGATTCAAGGGATTAGATCTGATAAACAGTGCCTGAAGAACTATGGACGGAGGTTTGTGACACTGTACAGGACGTCACTAGGGATCAAGACCATCCCCAAGAAAAAGAAATGCAAAAAGGCAAAATGGTTGTCTGAGGAGGCCTTACAAATAGCTGTGAAAAGAAGAGAAGCGAAAAGCAAAGGAGAAAAGGAAAGATATTCCCATTTGAATGCAGAGTTCCAAAGAATAGCAAGGAGAGATAAGAAAGCCTTCCTCAGTGATCAATGCAAAGAAATAGAGGAAAACAATAGAATGGGAAAGACTAGAGATCTCTTCAAGAAAATTAGAGATACCAAGGGAACATTTCATGCAAAGATGGGCTCAATAAAGGACAGAAATGGTATGGACCTAACAGAAGCAGAAGATATTAAGAAGAGGTGGCAAGAATACACAGAAGAACTGTACAAAAAAGATCTTCATGACCCAGATAATCACAATGGTGTGATCACTCACCTAGAGCCAGACATCCTGGAATGTGAAGTCAAGTGGGCCTTAGGAAGCATCACTACGAACAAAGCTAGTGGAGGTGATGGAATTCCAGTTGAGCTATTTCAAATCCTGAAAGATGATGCTGTGAAAGTGCTGCACTCAATATGCCAGCAAATTTGGAAAACTCAGCAGTGGCCACAGGACTGGAAAAGGTCAGTTTTCATTCCAATCCCAAATAAAGGCAATGCCAAAGAATGCTCAAACTACTGAACAATTGCACTCATCTCACACGCTAGTAAAGTAATGCTCAAAATTCTCCCAAGTCAGGCTTCAACAGTACATGAACCATGAACTTCCAGATGTTCAAGCTGGTTTTAGAAAAGGCAGAGGAATCAGAGATCAAATTGCCAACATCCACTGGATCATGGAAAAAGCAAGAGTTCTAGAAAAACATATACTTCTGCTTTATGGACTATGCCAAAGCCTTTGACTGTGTAGATCACAACAAACTGTGGAAAATTCTTCAAGAGATGGGAATACCAGACCATCTGACCTGCCTGCTGAGAAATCTTTATGCAGGTCAGGAAGTCAACAGTTAGAACTCGGCATGGAACAACAGACTGGCTCCAAATAGGAAAAGGAGTACGTCAAGGCTGTATATTGTCATCCTGCTTATTTAACTTATATGCAGCCTACATGATGAGAAATGTTGGGCTGGATGGAACACAAGCTGGAATCAAGATTCCCAGCAGAAGTATCAATAACCTCAGGTATGCAGATGACACCACCGTTACGGCAGAAAGTGAAGAAGAATGAAAGAGCCTCTTGATGAAAGTCAAAGAGGAGAGTGAAAAAGCTGGCTTAAAATTCAACATTCAGAAAACTAAGATCATGGCATCTGGTCCCATCACTTCATGGAAAATAGATGGGGAAACAGTGGAAACAGTGAGAGACTATTTCTTTGGGCTCCAAAATCACTGTAGATGGTGACTGCAGCCATGAAATTAAAAGACCCTTGCTCCTTGGAAGAAATTTATGACCAACCTAGACAGCATATTAAAAAGCAGAGACATTACTTTACTGCAAAATGTCTGTCCAGTCAGAGCTATGGTTTTTCCAGTAGTCATGTATAGATGTGAGAAGTGGACTATAAAGAAAGCTGAGTACCGAAGAATTGATGCTTTTGAACTGTGGTGTTGGAGAAGACGCTTGAGAGTCCCTTGGACTGCAAGGAAATCCAACCAGTCCATCCTAAAGGAAATTAGTCCCGAATATTCATTGGAAGGACTGATGTTGAAGCTTAAACTCCAATACTTTGGCCACCTGATGCAAAGAACTGACTCAGTGGAAAAGACCCTGATGCTGGGAAAGGGGGAAGAGAAGAGGACGACAGAGGATGAGATGGTTGTATGGAATCACCAACTCAATGGACATGAGTTTGAGTACACTCTGGGAGTTGGTGATAGACAGGGAGGCCTGGTGTGCTGCAGTCCATGGGTTTGCAAAGAGTCTGACACGACTGAATTGAACTGGACTGATGAGGACTAGCAGACCAATCCTTGGGTCTATCCTCTTAAGAGTTCCTGTTCTGAGGAATCCCATCAGCTAGCCTCTCTTCTATATCTTTACCTCTTACCATGTCAGACTAGATCCAAATACACCATGGAATGCCAATATTTAGCTTTCCACAACTGGTATATGTAATTTACTTACAAAATCCCAAAATTTGAGTGGCAGGAAAACTATCTCTTATTCTAGAATTACCTATACTAACCAAACCCCGCTGCCTTTTCTAATTTGAATACAAATGTCTGAAGGGCCGGAAGAAAAGGATTTGACAATTTACTGCTTATCAATATGTTATTGATTGATGTTTGGCAAGTTACTAAATACTAATATTTACAGGAAAAAATACTAGTATTTACAGGAAAAGTTTGGGAGCAGGTAGAAATACCTAACAGTCTCATCAACTTTTATAAATTAACATGACCCCCTAAAACTTTCCTGATTCAGAAGAGGCAGTGAAGTCAAGAGAGAAGAACATGGAGTCAGGGTTAGAAGATCTGGATATTAGATCCCGATCTACCACTGACTAGTTGTGCTATAGTAATTAAGTCATAAGTTTCCTTCTCTATCAAATGGAAGAAACAGTCTACCTTACAAGGTTGCTGTGCACATGATACCACAGCTGTAGTTAAGATGCTGTCCAAATATTCACTGATGTCATCAATTTCCATATAGAAATAAATTTCGTGGTAGCTTACTTGTTAAGTCATGTCTGACTCTTACGACTCCATGAACTGCAGCCCGTCAGGCTCTTCAGTCCATGGGATATCCAAGGCAAGAATACTGGGGTGGGTTGCCATTTCCTTCTCCAGGGGATCTTTCTGACCCAGGGATCAAACATGTGTCTACTCTGTAGAATGCAGATTTTTTTTTTTTAATTACTGAGCTACCAGGGAAGCCATCTGCGGACCTAGTCAAATCAAGTTTCAGAAACCTATGAACAAATAATCACAGTGGCTACAACACAATGCTCTGTACCATGTCATTGGGGCTATTTATAAGCAGCCAGCAGAGATTACAGCAGAGATAGCCATTATCGAAAGAAGAACTGATGACGGTGAAAGCAGCAAGTCTTAGACATGTAAAGGAGAAATTCCAGAAACAACATGAGAAGATAGAGTTATTATGGCTGCTAATATCATCCTAAACATGTATAAATAGAAAATAACTCAATAGCCACCTAATACGTACAGTGAAATTGGCTTACTCATAAAGCTCTGTTTGGCCAGTAGATTCCAGTAGAACTGTTAATTGTCACAACTGTCAGTCACTAGTATATCAGAGCTTCATAGCTGGGCAGTTTTTCAAAAAAGAAAGCCATCCCAAACTGCATCTGCCAGGCTCAAGGCGGGATCTTTCACACTGGTTCACTTCTGGCTCTTGGTCTTCCTCCCTCAGTCTCCCACTCTCAGTGTCCCCCGCCCTCACCCCCCACCCCCATAGCCCTGCCTTACTCCTTACTGGGACAGGAGACCCAGGAGAACAGCTGGCCTCAGCTCTCCTCAGGACAAACAGGAAAAAGAAATCCGTAGGGCAGAGTCATCAGGGCTCCCACCCCACCAAGGCCTGAGCCCAGGAACTGGGGAAGAGACCTGCCTCTTGCCAACATACACACACACGCACATAACACAAAGGATCAAACAAACAGACCAAAAAGCATAAACAAACATAACTGGGCCAGCAAGGAGGAATGGAGGGTGGCCTTCAGTGGCTTCCTGCACCCATTCTCTTAGGCATACTCTAACACAGCCTTTATTTTCTTGGCAAAATATTTAAAGGAAATATAAAACATAAATAGAAAAGTGCATTAAGAAGAAGCATAAAGCTCAATACATTTTTATGAAGTTAACCCATCCATATAATGACTACCTAATCAATAGGAAACAGTGGCTGACTTTATTTTTTTGGGCTCCAAAATCACTGCAGCTGGTGACTGCAGCCATGAAATGAAAAGACGCTTACTCCTTGGAAGGAAAGTTATGACTAACCTAGACAGCATATTAAAAAGCAGAGACATTGCTTTGCCAACAAAGGTCTGTCTAGTCAAGGCTATGGTTTTTCCAGTAGTCATGTATGGATGTGAGAGTTAGACTATAAAGAAAGCTGAGTGCCAAAGAATGACACGACTGAGTGACTGAACTGAAGAGAACTGAATCAACAGGATAGCACTGTCTGCATTCCAGAAGCCTCTGTTATTCACTCTGCCAGCTGCTTTCCTTGCCCAAAATTTACCACTGTCCTGACTTGGATCTCTTTGATTCCTCCAACCTGTTTTTGAACTGATAGAAACTTTTGTGTATAGTTTTCTGGCTCAATACTATATCTGTGAGATTCATCCATGTTGTGGTATTTAGCAAGAGGCTACTCTTTTTCATTGCATTATAGTATTCCTGTAAGCAGACATACTATAAACTATCTATTGTTTATAGACATTGGGTTGCTTCCAGTTATGCTNTTTAGCAAGAGGCTACTCTTTTTCATTGCATTATAGTATTCCTGTAAGCAGACATACTATAAACTATCTATTGTTTATAGACATTGGGTTGCTTCCAGTTATGCTATGAACATTCTAGTTCATGCTTTTTGGTGAATATATGTACATAGTTTCATTGGGTTTATACCTAAGGGTGGAACTGCTGCTGATAACAGGATATTTATTAATATGATCATCTTTATCAGATACTGCCAAAGAGTTTCCGAAGTAGTTGTGTCAATTTGCACTCCTACCAGCAATGTGTGAGAATTCTACTTCCTCCATTCTTACTGCATTAGGTACGGCAATGTTTTTGAAGCCATTTTGCTAGTGGTATCTCAGTTGGTTGTTGTTCAGTTGCTAAGTCGCGTCTGATTCTTTGTGACACTGTGGACTGCAGCACTCTATGCTCCCCTGTCCTCCACTATCTCCCAGAGTTTGCTCAGATTCATGTCCATTGAGTTGGTGATGGTATATAACAATCTCAGTATATCAATATGGTATTCTATATTTCCCTTAAGACTAATGATGCTGAACATCTTTTCTTATGTGTACTGAGTTTATTTTCATAACTTCCTATTCAAGTCTTTTGCCCATTGTTAAATTGGGTTGTGTGTCTTTTATTACTAGTTTGTAGAAGTTCTAGATCTATTCTGGACACATATCTTTTGTTGAAAGTATGTAGTACAAATCTCACTCTAGGGTTTGCTTTTTTACTCCCTCTTAAGATGTCTTTTAGTGAACAGAAGATCTTAATGAAGCTCAATCTTTTCTTTCATTATGTGTTTTTTATGTCTTGTTTGAAAAGTCTTTGCCTAAGTCATGAAGATATTCTACAAAAGCCTTATTTTGAAATTCCAGTTGGATATCTAGTTGATCCAGCACCCACTACTGAAATGATCACCCTTCACTTATGGCCCTCCAAGGGCACTTTTGTCATAAACCATCTGTTGTCTGTTTTTGACCCTCTATTCTGCTTCACTGATTTGTCTTTAATATGAAAAACTGTGCTGACCTCCTCCTGGTGGTATTTGTACTTTCAATATTCATTGATAAAGCAACTATATAATGAACCAAAATACTATGAATTCAGTAATGTTTATAGATCATATTATAGTGTATTGTTATTATAACTTCTATCTGTATTGATGGAGTCCATTTATGTATGATATATAATTATTCAGATTCACGAACCTTGCAAAAACTCAGGCACTCAGCCTTGTAAATGATGCTTTAGAAGTAATTTTTAAAAGCTTTTACTCACAAATCTTTGCCCTAATATAACTTCTCACCATTAACAAAAATCTATCACCAATACCAAATGTAAAAAGAAACATGTATGTGTATATGTATGTATACAAGTGTCTGTATTTGCTTTAAAAAACAACCTTGGCTTCTTGTAGAGAGCTTTGAAAAATCTTAGGAGCAGCCATCAGTTTCACAGCTGAAAGCAATGATTTAGCTTACCTAAAGGTCATCTTTGGTGCCATAACTAGGATTTCAGTTAATCAATCAATAAATCAATTGAGCAACCCAAGAAATAAAATGCCTCAGTTAATGAAGTCTCCAGGAATAAAGCTCTTTTTAATGAAGCAAAACAAAGGGGAAAAAAAGGATAAAGAAAACTAAAGATATGAACCATGTGGGTCAGTTTTGGTGTGTGCCTTATGGCTTTATCAGACTGTTTCTAAAGTTACACATGCAAACAGCTGATCAAGTACCCTGTTTCATGACTTTTATTTGCAGTCACCAAGGAAAATGGGTCTGATCTTAGAACTTTGAAAACATCCTTTTGACTTTCCAACCTTGCCTCCTCCACCTTTCATTATCTTGACATGTGAGCTACTTACTTCCAAACCAGTGTTTCTCAAAGTATGGTCCAGAAACAACTTCATGAGCATCACCCTGGAGTGTCTGTTAAAGCTGGCAATTCTCATGCCCCAGCCCAGATCCAGAGAATCAGAATCTGTGCGGAGGGACCTGGGAATTTCCATTTTAAAACAAAGTCCGCAGGCAGTTTTTTACACACCCGGATTTGAGAACCACTGTTTCTGGTCCTATCGAAAGCTCTTCTCATTTCCTGACAACCACTGGGGATCTCTTCTACAACTTAGCACCTGCCCTGCCTGATCACAGGTCTGCTTTAAAGGAATCCTCCCTTCTCATGCTTCAATTTCTTTTTTGACTTGAGAATAGATGAAGAGAATTACTTTATGCTGAAGAGAATTAGGAGTTGCTTTGTAAAGGAGATGGCAGTTAGCCTATTGAATAGTAATATCTGGATAGTTGGAAATGGATGGAAAGACATTCCCAATAGAGAAAAGTGAAGGAATAAGAATGCCCTCATCATGTAAAGGTGATAAGGAGTCACTGAGCTGAATTATTTCTAGTTATGTAGTATGCATGCATGAGGGCTAAGTTGCTTCAGTCATGTTGACTCTTTGAGACCCCATGGGCTGTAGCCCGCCAGGCTCCTCTGTCCATGGGGTTCTCCAGGCAAGAATACTGAAGTGGGTTGCTATATCTTTCTCGAGGGGATATTCTCGACCTAGGGATCGAACCCATGTCTCCTGTCTCCTGCACTGGCAGGCAGCTTCTTTACCATTAGCACCACCTGGGAAGCCCAGTACAGAGAAACATATAAACATTGACATTTGTACTATGCATATGATACATTTAGGTAGATCATGAGATTAGACATATGTATAGATTCTTTTAAAAGTTTATAGTGTTTTCTATAGGGCATCATTATTGTATGGATATAAAAAATTTAAACTCCAGGTCAACATGTATCCATTCTCTCCCTTCGCTGTTCACCTAAAATTATCACATTATTAATCAGCTATACCACAATACAAAATAAAAGGCCTAAAAAAAAAGAGGAAGAAATCAATGGATATTAAAAACAGACAAAATAAATAAATTCCAGGTCTGAAACCTGGAAACAAACAGAGTAAGACCAGAAGTAACATCCATAAGTACTAAAGTATTTTGGCTCTATACTAGATTCTTCACTATTTGAGCTTCAATTTGCCATTTCTCTGAAGTATATTTTCCTCCTTATGAAACCAAAACTAGTAGACATTAAGATATTTTCCCTAAGTCACACAGCAGCTATAAGGGCAGGAGTGAGGGAGACATGGAGGAAAGGAGGAGACTTGCTTTTAATTTATTTTGTATAGTTCCTTCTTCTCTCTCACAAATGGCCAGAAT